AGGATGGGTTTTGAAAAATATGGGATAAAAAAGAAAACTGGAAAAGAGTCCTTTTCTAAGACTTTAAGTAACTAGAGAGCTGTTTCAAAGCTTTTACTGCACACCTGAGATTATGCGAGAGGGAACACTTTTTTGCAAGGGGGAAGAGGAGGAGGGGGGTTGATACTTTTTATTGAACCAGTTACATAGTTGGTATAAAGTTAGACAAACTTGCAAATGCAAGGCATTCTTCTTCAGGTGGTCTTCTTTTTCCTGGACCATCCAGGCTACAACATGACACTAACACTACCACACTTGAGGTTACAGTTTATTCTAGAAATAGGATTAGAAATGGATCTGGGCAATCGAGATTTACCCCAGCCAGGCCCTGTTGCCTCACAGGACTTGTGCTTTCCCTTGGGTTTTCTGCAGTTACAGAAAGTGCACACCTTTTCTTTTTCTTGTTTGCGCAACAAACCCTAGTTCATAGCCAGAATCCTTCTGAGCTATGGAGGCAAAGGGAAAGGGGAGAACAAATATCTGTGACAGCACAGCTAAAGTAAGTTGTATTGAAGGCATGTAAATTACTTGGATTTTTCATTTGAATTGTTTACATGTTAAACAGATGTGCTTCCCCAATAATGGCAGTCCTACTCAGTCCTTTTGTTAAATGTATCATGTGTTATCAAGTTCAGGTGTTCATACGTGATCTACTATTTTCTAATCTGTCTCTGAAAACTCAGCCATTAATTTGAAGAACCATTATCCTTCCGTTTAATATGCTATTAGCTATTTTTAACCAAGGTAAAAACCTTACAAATCATGGATTTGGATTCTTGTTTCAGTATTTACAATGCTGGTAATTCCAAACACTATTACGTCTTGGCGTCACTATTTAAGCATTCTTCCTTCTTTTGTATACACATACTTTACTTTTCTTTCAGCCATATCTTTGCATTTCAGACACTGTTACTTATTAAAAGTAGTCGACTTTGCTTGCATACAACAAGACATTTTCACTTTTACTTTTTCATTCTTAGTACCTTACTCTGGAAATTGCCATAGTAAGATATTATTTAATGCAAGAAAAGATGATGGAATGGAGCCCACAATGCAGAGTTCTTAATATCACTGTAATCTTAAATTATTTAAAGATTTTTAATATTATCCAAAGGGTATAGGAAAGTATTTTCAAGTAAAATCTAAGTGCCCATTATGCAGTACTAGCCACACATCCTTCATTAAAAGAACTTTGAATACTTGCCTTTGCAATCCTACTAAAAGTAGGGAAATGCTAGAAATGAGATTGCCTCTGGAAAAATAAGGGAAATAATACTCTTTGACTAGGTGACTAAACACTGTATCTCAATGTATGTCCAATATTCCCCAAACTCCCGCTAATAAATAGGAAAAACCGGTTCTCTTCTCTCCCAGTTTCTCCCGCCACCAGTTTTTAGTCAAAACACAATTGTTAAAGTTATGTGTGCTCTCCATTATCTCGGTGCTGATGGGTATATGCTATGTAAGGCTGTGATTATTCATAAGCATATCGTAGTACATTATTTTTCATAATAACAGCAGCATGAGTTCATCATATCAGCCAAAATCCATAAATCATTCATAGGCTCCCTAATCATTCCAGAAGCATTACTCAACCTTAATAATTGCTGGACTACCAACCGTATCTATAAAATCAGGAGTTCTCAGCATCTTGATACAGCTAAGATTACAGCTAAGCTTATTTATTATTCACTTCACACCAGGGAACCTGTATTCTAGACTAATACCTACCCTGACTGTGCCCTGTCCCTGGGTATTTATGAACTCGTAGAGACCTTCTGAACCACCTCTTCATTTTGGAAGTATAGGTCCCACGCCTTTTTGGCCTTCATGGCCCTGTAGTTTCAGAAACCAGCATCTGGGTTTGATCTCTGGAATGAAATATTACGATTATTGAGGTACCCTCTGTTAGCAGTTACATCAGTTAGTTTTTGATGGACCATGACTTTGACTATAGAAAAGATAACTGATTTGTGGGTTTCCCCAGTTATCACCAACTGTCTGAAAGAAATATTCAATGTAATTGGCAAAGAAAATTGTAAACACATAATTTATTAAAGTATCATTAGATTTTTAGAAGAAGTCTAACTACTATTTCCAGACTGGTTTTCAACATATGAAATGGCTAGAGTGTATGCTATCTGTGACTTGTTTCCTGTGCATTATTTTTGACAGACCATAACAAAACAAAATTTTGTTCTAACTTCAAAAGAACTTTAAAAAAGAAGTCTGGTGTTTAATTATGTGGTTTAGTTCTTAGGGAACAGGGAACTTTTCTAAAGCCTTTATTAAATGTATTAAATGGTCACTAGCCCATGCACCTGAAACTACCCATGCTTTACTTGAAATTATACCTAAAATAATTTCTACATATATATACATATGCATGTACGGAAAGTGGTGTGTGGGTACATGAATTATGTGTGTTAACCTATGTTTATATATTCACATAATAGCAACATATTTGATGCCTCAGTTTTCCAGAATTATAGATTTCCAGGAAGACTAAGCTAGAACTTCAAAAAAATCTGAATTCACTGGTCATTCAAGTTTGGTACAAATGTATTGTTGTTATTATTATTTTGTTTTCAGTGTCATTCATGATAGGTGGAAGAATTACTTATGGAATATATGAGTATGTGTTTAAAGGATAAAAACAACATAGATTTTAAGAAAAGATTTAGGACAATGCTTAAGTCGTGTGATTCAGCTGCATTTTAGAGTTAGTCTAAATAATTCATCAGCTAAAAAAGATGTAAATAGCATTGTTATTATGTTAAATGTGCAGCAGGGTATCTCTAATGGCTATTTCAGCTAGTAAAAACTTCCTGAGGCTGCAAAGATAAAGATATGCAAAACAGGATCCCACAGATAATATACTGATTACTTAAAAATAAGGAAATCTCAGTGAGTGATGCACATGGAGTTGCATGTGTTGGAAAAAGGTAGTAGCTGTCTTCACTGAAAATCTTTTCCTAATAAAAATGTATTTCAAGGTAAGAGAATTAGTTCAAAGGGTTCTTTTGTAATTCTCCGTCACAAAGAATCTGTTTTATTATGATAGCTGCCATCCTGGCAATGAAGTGACAGATTTAGCCATGGGTCTTGAGATGTCCGTTAAATACAGCGCCTCCATTTTTGAATGTTTTTAGTAGCCCACTGAGTAGCTACTGTTTGAAAAGTACAGGTCGCAGTGGGAGGCTGAAAGGGAATGGGCCTCCAGAAGCATTTAGTGTTTAATGGGTCTACAGCTGTAGTGAATCAGTGTGCAGAAATAATTCTGATTAGGCTTGGTCAATCAAGCTACAAAATCAGATCTGTCCTTTTTTTCCATTTAGCTCTAAAATACAGAAAACACTCATTGTCTAATACACAATTTTAACTAAAAGTGCTGTACTTTAGTTAAATTGTTAATTATTTCTTGTATTTATTATATGGCTGATTCTTTCTTATACCTCTGAATATAATCAGATGCTAAGGGAAACAAATGGTTAGGCTAATGGATGAGTAAAGGAGATCTTTTTTTCCCCTCATTTGGGATTTCACGTTAAAAGAAACAAGTAAAGCTATAAAAATAATAATTTTGAAATTTAAGCTTTTTGGAGAATACCAAATTTTATTATTCACATTCAATGGTATTAAATGTGAATAATAGTTTAATATTGTACTGCACTGGTAGTGTAAGAAGTAGCCAATTATTGACAGTTTATGTCAGCTGTTATCATTTAAACATGCAGCTGCAGATGTGCAATTAGAAGGGAACAACTTTGAATGACAAGCTTTTTGCACAGTCATTCTTTTAAGGGCAAATTTTGAATATATGACAAGATAGAAGAATGGCATCTAAACTTTACTCTCAATTTTTAAAACATCTCTCTCGCTTTCTCTCTCTCTCTGTCATCACTGGGATACAATACGCACTAGGGAACAGTTAAGATAGTCTGATTCTTTTTTGTTAAGTTTAAAAGGTCATGTGGCTCTGGTCATTGTTGAACCTTATTGATAATATGCTTTGAAGTAGGGTGTTACATGTTGATTGTGCTTTTGTGTAGACAAGCCTTATTCTGTGCAGGTCTTGAGAGCTGAATAAGTTTCAAAGGAATATATTTAACTATTGTTGTCCACAAACTCTAAAACTAATAAAAGGTGGCAGGGTTTTTGGACATCCATGCTTTAGGGGGGAAAAATCAGAAACTATAAACAGTTTGTAATTTAACTTGTTAGCATCTTGCATTGCATGCTGTTGCAGAAGAGATGACTAATATGTAAGGTTACATCTCAGATGCTATATTTTTTCCAAGGAGTTATAAAACTTGAAAAAGCCACTGTTCTGTCAAAATACAGAATTTCCTCAAGGTAGTGCTTGAAAAGCAAAGGTGATTCAGAGATTCATGGGAAGTGATAAACAGGAACCGTGAGCAGTATAGATATCACAGTCACCTTTTCTGAACTTGTTTTTTTTTGTCCGTATGGATAAATTTGTCAACTTGTATTGAAAAATCATTTATCACTGTAAACAGAAGACTTTTGCAAGGATTGACCTCTCATATATAGTGAATTGAGATTTTTTTTTCTTCATTTGGCAGTTTAGAAAGCAGAATACAAGGAATGATCTGGAGAAAAATTATTGTTGATTTAACTGTCTTCAGCATTTATGTACTACAGTATGTGTTACCAGGGGAAGCCACTGCAATACTGTATAGATGGAAGATGTCAGTTATTTAAAAACAAAATAAAACGTAATGCAATGCACATAATTTTACTGAAAGGTTCAGGCAACTAAGCAGATTTGGCTTGCTTTTAAATAAATACAAGGAAATGTTTAACCCCTATTGTATTGCCACAAAGCCTGGGCTGATCACACAGTGAAGCCTGGGAGGTCCATGTACAATGTGATTGGCTGTGGAAAACAGTGCTCTTTGTACGTGTTTTTACACAGAGTCCAGCAACAGCAGGGTTCGACAGCATACAGTTTTGCAGCAGGATTACAATGTAAAGAGAGTTTTACCAACGATTCATCTCTTTCTAATGAGAAAATAGAGAGCGGATTATATTTACACCTACAAGGTAATATTCCTACAGCTTCCTTTTATGTACTGTTTTGTTCCCCTTTGGTATTTAGTACAACTGTGATACATTAGGTGACACTTAGATGTAGACATCCAATTTATTCATACCTGGGAAATATGATGAGGTTGATTTTATAACTCTGAAGAAGAGGTTAAAATATTTCTTGTGTAATTCATTAAAATATGTTTCATTTGTTCGGTTAACTGCAATGGGAAGTGAAATGAGCACAGTTATAACTTTGCTAATCTATGTGGAATGGACTAATTTCACTGGAGTCTGTAATATATGAGACTGACTTTTAGTGCTGACTTACAGGGAAAATAAAGTCATTTGAAAAGTCTTGATCTTTGGGATATGGCTGACTCTGTGCTGTCATATATTTGGTTTATTTTCTTAAAAGATTTTATGATGCTGAAAGTTCACATTCATGGAACTGTGGCTATTTTTCATTTAAAAAATTATCATTTAGTTTGAACTACATTTTTAGGATTTTCCATGTTGTTGTTGTTATTATTATCCTCCCATATGACTGCTTGAGAAGTGACCTAACTGTGTATGCTAGAAGAAAAATTATCATTCATTTATTCTTTTGCTTGTATTTCATTAGAGACCAGCATGCTGGTATTTCATAGATTTCATAGACATTAGCGCTGGAAGGGACCTCGGAAGATCATCAAGTCCAGCCCCCTGCCCGAGGGGCAGGAAGTCAGCTGGGGTCATAGGATTCTCTGTTGACTCCTCTAAACATTGACATAGCATACTTTGATTAATATTAACAATCTTTATAATGACTGTCAGATTTGTCATATAATTCTCTTTAGAGAATAGCTGGAAAAAATTCTTGTTAAAAAAAACAAACCAAAAAAAAAAATGGTTTTGAACTTTCAGACTGAAATACAGTCTAGGATATAACTAACACAAACCATCCTGCTGCTGTCTGAACATCTGTGCAAGTGTTTCTTAAAGTGTGATTACTTTCACATTCCAAAAGAGAACAGAGTTTCTTTCTTAAACCATTTTAACAGCTACTGTTCATTTATTTTACAGTATTTTTGATCCATATAAGCAAGTTAAATGTCACAAGACTCTCTAATAATTTTATCTATGAACCTTTTACTTAACAGTTTAATCAGTTGAAATCTTTAACTAAAGTAATGCTGTGGGGAGTCTGTGTTTCCCTTCATTTTTTTCTGCCTTTTTTATTTGAAACTTGTTTGTGGGGATTATTTTAGCAATAAGTGAAGGATGAAAAAATGGAATTTACACAGAAATTCTAACTGGTTTTGGGCATTATAAACTACATTGCTAACTGAAGATGCTGAACTAACAAAAACCTATCAATCAGTTTAATTGCTCAGTCAGTACAATCACAGCATAACTTACGTAGTAAAATCACACTACATCTCCTGTATAGCACATTTTTTTAATTGAGCAAAATGTTTAGGAGTCTCTTGTACATCTCATCATATATACCTCATGCACTATCAACAGTCTGTTTGTAGTACTTAAAATTCTAACAGTTTAATATTTGGCAACTCTGCTTGACATTTTTTTATTTTAAAATCTGTTACAAATGAGGAATAAATGGCACTGTTTAGGTGTTGTTAATGCATTCCTTACAAATTGGCTATTGAGTGTTTGGAAACATTCCCACTTTAAAAATCATCAACATCCAAACTATCCTATCATCATGCTAAACTGTTCTTTCACTCTTGTGCGAGTCCCTTGAATTCAGTTTTTTGTTTTGGTTCCAATAAGCATCTAAATGTTTTTTTCCTCAAAGTTTTAGATGCATATATAAACCTCTTTTACTCTTTATGGCTGGAAATCACATGGGAACACAGAAACTTTCTTTTCTCATGTAATTTATCATCTGATCTTGCTAGGATACTATTCACACATCACAATAGTTGAATTCTAAAACAAGAATTTAAGAGTTATGTAAACTTTTTCGAGGCTCAGACAATTTTTCGGTTCGGAAAAAACCCTGCACTGTGAGTTTAAAATCTCCTAGAGAATGACTGGGGTGGTAAGACATATAAATATAGATGCTTGAAGAACAAACACTTGCTGGAGTGGGATTTTTTTAGGATTTCCAAAGATTAATCTTGCTAAAAAATTAAACAGCTACTGTGCTATTTACCATATCTAAAGTGCATTATCATTACTACACAAATAACTTTAGCATTGGAGTATTTAAGTTTTAGAAACCAGAGAACCACTTTATCCTCAGACTGAATTGTAGGTATCTGTTCATTAATAGTAGTATGACATTCAGCTGCTAACAGTGTGTTGCAAGATGATTTGTCTGTTTTTTTTGTGGAAGAGAGTACATATTTCTTCAGAAAATCCTTCTTGATTAAGTATGTGCAATTAGGCAACTTTACATTAAATTCAAGAAACTGTAATTTCAGTTCTGACAAGAAGTTCTGTGCTTAAGCTAAAAGACTCATAGGTTAGCTCCTGTCCAAAGTCATACGTCTTGAGGGAGGATGGTTGGTGATTGTAGATATAAGTCGTACCTGGGGACTGAAGTTAATAAATAAAATTAATAAAATCAGTGTGACAGCTTTGTTTCTGTGAACGCTGAGAAAAGATCTGAAGATGAGTGAGACTTGGGAAACAAAAAGGTATTAAATAATACGTAGCATTACCTGTCATTTCCATACATTCTTATATATCAGAATAATGACAATTTTAGAATTAAAATCTCCGACTAGAACTGTCTTTACTCATGTGCCTCAGGAAATCAAAAATATATTAGTTTTTAATATATCTTTTATTTATTGTTTACTGTGAATGAAAGATCAGAGCACAGTTGTACTAAGTAGAATATTTTTCACTAGTTTTAAAATGGATTTAAACTGTCTTTTCCCATTATATGTTATTTAATATATTCAAAATCTCAAAGCACTAAGAGGATGCCCTACATATTGAAGGGATGCTCTGTTACATTGCAGTACAAACCAGCTACAGTGGACAAATGTACCAAAATAACATCAATCACTTCAAAATTAAAACTTGTGTGAATTTGCATTTAAAAGGGAAGGTTTCACCCAACAAACATCTTATGATTCTTTGATTGCACCAGGACTGACTGAAATGAAAACTTTGTATAAACATTTTTTTTTCCCATGGGGTGAAATAATTTATGATATCATGTGGAGGCATTAGCCTAAGGGACTGAAATAAATATACACCACTATATTCTGTTTTTGCTGATGACTGCATGAGGAGCTTAATATATTACTCAAGAAAAGAATGCAGCCACTCCCTAAAATTTCATTTTGAGAAAGAAGTAATGGCATCTTGAGCCAAATAAAACCTCCTTATTACTGGAGGTGTTAATTGCTTAATATATTTTTTTTTAATACTGTAGAAATACCTAACTACATCAGTCAGAATTAGAGTCTTGTGCCGAGTGCAGCACTTAACATGTAGGAAGGAGTTTACCATTGGGAAGAGACAGGGTCTTATGCAGAAGCCCATATTAACCCTGCTGGCCTCTTTTATTGCATCAAAATGAAGAGACTTAATGCTTTTACAGAGTATTGGAACTAAGGTGAATTTGTCCAAAATGCCTATGGTTCATCCCCCAGAATTGGTCTCTGAAGTGCAAGGCAGAATTTAGTTTCCTAAGACCAAACAAGCAACTCATAAAGCTTGTCTAACCACTTAGGCATTCAAGGGCTTGCCTGTATTGCCCTGGATGCTGATGTTGGGGAGCATGGGGATGAGCATGCTCTGTCTACCTGCATACTCCAGACCTTGTTGCTGGCCCCCTTCCCCATGTTTGCCCATAAGGCTGGTCCAAGGCATTCCCAGTGGCTACTCTTAGGCACGCTGACAGCTTGAGAGCAGCACTGGAGATAAGGCTAAAGTAGCTTCACTGGCAAACTTCTGGGACTGGTGTGCCCTCAGCAGGACTTGTTGCTACAGCAATATAGGCAAGCCCTGACAGCTCCTACATTTTGACCTGTACATTTACGTAGTACTACTGCACCTGCCTAGAACTGCTGCCACCTTGCCATCTGACTATTTCAACACCTGTCTCATGCATAAGGCCATTTGGGATTCACAAATTACACATCCCCATGGCTAAGGCCTAGATTCCCCAAAGGATTTAAGTATTATAATGGAATTAACAAACCTGAGTTTGGTTTTTAAGTTGTGGGGAGTTGTTTAATACTGAGTTGTTTAAGTGTGAATTGTTTACATCTCTGTGGCACAGTGGGGAGAGTTACATGCCTTTGTGAATCTCAGTCCTAGGTATCTCCTAAGGAGTGTAGAATGACTATACCCCAAGGTAGGAAATGCTGAGGAAGGGTTCATGTCTGAAATCCATTAGACTTAGGTGCCTATCTGTAGCCCTGAATTAGGTGCCTGAGATTGGGATGCGATTCATGTCCCTGAACCCATCTGGGGTTCAGACACATCAGTCTACTTTGTGTATGACAGGATCACTTCTCTTTTAAGAACCAGTCAGTGGTTTTATATAGTAGCTAGCTGTGTTTCTCAACCCATGGGCTGCAACCCAAAAGTGGATCACAAGAATATATGAAAGGGTCACAGACTAACTTAAAAAATGGATCAACAAACTTTAAAACTGGATTCTCCTTTAAAGGAGAAAAACATGGGGAACCTTGGCTTTTCCCTTGTAGGCTGGCAGAGTTCCAGCCTGCAAGGAACTGCTTGGGCCTCCTCCTGCCCCACACACCCATCTTTTGCCCCCCCCACACACCCTCCACCACACGCTAGGGGGCTGGTGTCTGGGTGCAGCAGGTTGGGAGTGAGAGACCCTGGGTTGGGATTAGCCATCAATGTCTACAAATGGGTCCTGGTACAAAAAAGGTTGAGAACCATTGAGCTAAAAGATAAAAAGACTTGCCCAAGCAATGGAAATGCTGGGACCTCCTTAACCTGAGAGATCAAAGAACCGTGCTTTCACATCTAAGTTAAAGGCACCTTGCCCCTCTTTGGTTGAAGCTGAAGCTGTA